GAAGGTTTTAGATTGTCAACCTAAAACTCCTCCTCCCACCACTAGGGACATGGGAACCTTTGTCTCCCCAAAAGGTGCTCCCTCACCCCCAGACCAATCATGGTCTGTGGGTGGGGAAGCAGGGAAGTATCCTGGCCCTGCCCCTTCCGCTTGAGGCCATGCCCCCTCTGGTGCGGCCCAGGGCCACTTCAAAAATTTCTGAAGTGGCCCCCAGCAAAAAATTATTGCCCACCCTTGCTATAGAAGAAAGCAAAAAGAAAAGAAAAATACTAGAGCTTTGGCCAATCTGGCCCAGGGGAAAATTCCTTCCTGACCTCAAATATGGCAGTCAGTTAGACCCTGAGTATAAGACTTACCATATAGACACCTGGGAAAGAATTCTCTGTAGTAAAACCGAGAGCCTTCCCCAGCGAATGTCCTGTCTCCCACACTTAAGGACTTTTGCTGTTGGCAGTTGCCAGTGGGCTGCATGCCATTGTAGGCAGTCCCATCACATTATCTCCTCTATAAACTTATTTAAAATGTTAATATGTTTTTTTAAATGCACAAGACAATCCAAAGCTATACAATATACATTTTGTGAAAAATTGAAGGAAAAATTCAGACAGATTCGTGTAAGTTCTGTTAAGTTAATAACTTGTGCATAGAATGTACGCACTTACTGGGATATTGAAAATATTTTTTCAGCAATATAACTATCTTCCTACAATATATTTTAATTTTGGATTTTCCTGTTTTTTAAACATTTATTATATTTTAAAATGTTTGCAAAACTATCCGTTCTGATCTCAAGATCTGGTCAGTACTGTTTATTTGTCTGTGGAACTACAGTGATTTATACCAGCTGAAGATCTAGCCCTAAATCCGATACTATGTGCTAGATGTGGTAGTGGAGTTGTTTGTATGGAATGCTCTATGTATCACAAAATAGGAATGCTGTTTAAGATATCAGACATAGATGGCCTATACACTACATATTTAATTTTGTTCTAGGGACCACTGGAAAAACAATTGCAGAATTCTGTAGTTTCAGAAAGACAAAGAAATGTGGAGCACAAAGTGTCAGCCATTAAGAATAGTGCCCAGGTAAGTTGTGTCTGTTACAGTCTGGGATGGTGTGTCAGGTTCTAGGACTCTGCACAGACACAGGTTTATTGCTGCAGATTCAGTCACACATACTATTAATTTGGGGTTTAGCACTTCATCCCAGAAGTCTCTCGCTATAGTAGGGGGAACTAAGGACAGAAAAAGTAAGGTGCAGCTGGGATAATATTAGAAACTACTTTGCTCAAGAAGAAGTTTGGCCTGAGGTTTGTCTTTGTTATTCTTTATAAAAGAACAAAGGGGGGAAAAATGGGGAGAATTTGGATGTCTAATCTAGGGAACAGGGCACTGGATCAGTACCTACGGTGGGCCTAGACTACAGGGTTTTTTTGAAAGAAGTCGTCTTTTTTCGAAAAAACATACCCTTCATCTAGACTGCTGCTGCGTTCTTTCAAAAGTAAATTGAAAGAACGCAGCAGTTTTTTCGACCACGGAAAACCTTGTTTTACAAGGAAGAACGCCTTTTTTTGAAAATACTCTTTTGAAAAAAGGGGCTATGTAATACAAACTGTGCTTTTTCAAAAGCGAGTATTCAGACTGCCTGGGTGCTCTCTTTCGAAAAAGCGGCTTGCTTTTTCAAAAGTACTGGTTGTAGTCTAGATGCTCTTTATTGAAAGAGGCTTTTTCGAAAGTATCTTTCGAAAAAGCCTCTTTTGAAAGAGGCTCGTGGTCTAGATGTAGCCCTAGGTATTTAGGTTCCAGATAGTCATAGAGGAGAAGCAGCTGGTGGCTAAGGCCCAGCAGCCTGCCCATAATGCTGATCCAATATTGCAAACTGCTGCATAGAATCTGTTGCTGGGGCTTTTTGTGGTGAGGGTGAATTTCATTGAAAAGGAAAGAGTAAATAAGAATAATGGTTAGGAGCTACAATTTTATAAAGTATGCTTGAGTTGTGCATGGAAAATAGCCAACTGTGCATACAACTGCATACCTTGTATTAACATTTCCAAAGTTAGTCCCCAAAATAGAAAAAAATAGTAATAGATGTGGCTGTCTGTCTACACATCTCGATTTGGAGACTGGATTTTTATAATCCTCTAAACATTTATTTCAGAGTTGCTTAGTGTCCACTTTTCAACCAGAAAGTCTGGACACCAAAAATCCAGTGACTGCAGTGGGTGAAAAGAGGAGCAGGTTCATCAAGCCACTCCAGTCCTTGCTCAGCTGAGGCCGCCTCCTGCCTGCATCTAGTGGGCAGAGCAAGCAGGCCGCAGGCTCACCATTGGGCTGTAACCCTAACCCAGCCCAGCCCCAGAGCAGAGGGAGCCTTGTTGCAGCTTATTTCATCTCATAATAGTTGAGAATAACTTTAAATCTCCAAATAGGCCAAACAAAAATTATAAAAAATGAAAAATTAGAGCTCTCAGTTAAAAAAGGGAAGTTATCCTGCAGTGGTAATAATCTCCAAACATGTTCACATCAACATTGTAGAAGTGTTTTGTTTAGTTTTTGAAATTTGTTCTTGGGCTTATAGTTTTAAAGGTAAATTATTGAAGATCCACATTAAAAACTTCCCATGCTATAATTTGAGGAGCTGTGTGTTCCAATCCATAAGCTTATATTTAATTAATAATTTTCATAGTGTAATTAACTATTCTTCAAAGAATGACAATTTACACTACCAGACTACAACATTTTTAAAAGTGGGTGGAGGAGAGGTAGAACATCCTAGACTTGCTTGAGTGTCAAATGACAGTTATTCCAATAGTTTACATAAATGTGTTTTTTAATTAGATTTATATTATGAATGAGCAGTCTGAACTAATTTTTATCATTTCTACTTTCAAACAAATCAGTGAATACCTAAGAATTTGAATGATTATTTGAGGAGACTGGTTTAATGGCCAGATACACACAGGTACTTGGTATGCAGGCAAAACTGAATCAAGGTAGTTTGGCCACAGCAGAATTCAAGATTGAGCTGATTGTATCAATAAGGATAACAGTGTGTGAAATAGGGATGTTAAAATTAGATCAACTAATTGAATAGTTGACGGAATTTCCTGCCAGGGCTTTTGTACATTTCAAAGCAGAAGTGCCTGCATGGAGCCTGAAGTCAGCTGGGAACTCCCCACTGGCCCTGGGCTCAATGCTGCATTTCAGTCTTTGAAATGCACAAGAGCCAGACCCCATCCATAGAAAAGTGTGGCCCTTGATCACTTATCAAAATCTTGGCATGTCCCCTCATCAAAAATTGTTGCCCATCCCTGGATTAGTGATTAGGATATAAGCAGTTCTGTCAAACCTTTGAAATTCTCAAATGACATGTAAATATTGAAAGAACTGAACTACAAACTAGGTAAAAATAAAATAATGTAAATTAGAAACCGTCAGATGTGGTGCAATGCTGATTTTTTTTTAATTTATAAAAGATGACAGAACAAGATGTTAAGTACTTAGAAGATTTGCAAGAGGAGTTTGACTTCAGATATAAAACAATACAGAGCCTAGGTAAGCTTGTTCATACATCTTTCAAGATTCTGTGAGAAATATGTTGGATTATAGAGCTAGATTTCAGTGTCAGGTATGTTTTGTGTGTTCCTTTCTAAGCTCACAGAAGCACAGAAGCTGATACTTTGAGCTATATGCATGATGTGTACATAAAACTGCTCTATGTGCCACAATGCACACTTCTGGAGTTAAAAAGGTAATAATATCCTCAGTGTCTAGAGGCAGTTACTTTCTGTAAATGAGCTAGGAAGTAGTGTGATCAAGTCTTGGGAATTATTTTCTTCAAAACAATTTCTTCGTGTTTAACATGGCCCTTCCTCTTATAGAGTGGGATGTGTACAACCCCATGTTTTCCCCCATAGTGAAGTTTTCTAAACAGTGATTTTCAAACTATGAGTCATGATCCGGTAGTGGGTTGTGGAATGTCAGGCACTAGGTCTTATTGCTGTAGGGGGATCAGGTGATCAGTGAGGGTGCTAAGGTAGCTACCTGCCTGTACTGGCACCGCAGACTATGCTGCATCCCAGAAGCAGCTGGCAACAGCTCCAGCTCCTGGGAGAGGATGGGGGCGAGAGAGCACACAGGGCTCCATGCACTGCCCCCTGCCCTGAGCACTAGCTCCGCACTCCCATCGGCTAGGAACCTGCTGCTGGCTGCTTCTGGGGTGCAGCATGGTCTGCAGTGCCAGGAAAGACAGGATGCCTGCCTTAGCAGCCCCGCTGCACCACTGATTGGGAACCACTCAAGGTAAGCCCCTCCTGCCCCAGCCCTGACACCCCCAAAGCTCTTGTCCTCAGTAACACTGTAGTTAAATTATGTCGGGTTGTAGGCATCAACAATTTTCTTCAACTGGGCCATAAGAAAAGAAGCTTGAAAACCACTTTTCGAATAGCATTATATTAACCACTAGTTAGGACTTCTGATCTTTTAGACCAAAGTGGTGATAACCATCTGGTAAATATTCCAAATGCAGGCTTGAGCAGCTTGGGTCTGCATCCTGTCACACTTCAACAAGTTCTTCATGACCCTCATTCAGAAATGAAACTGGTGCCACGCTGTGTCTGCACTGAGATCTCCCTTTGAACATTCAGAGAAATCTGGGGCCCTATGTGCCCTACTTTCTTCAGCATGCCAGTCATATGAGACTTAGTATGTCAGAGCACAAATTTCAGTGGAAGACATATGCTAGTGCCCAGAATAGAAATAGATGGCATTAAGTTTTTCATTGAAGGTAGTTGCAGATGGAGAGAAAAGGAAATGGTCAGGATAGGAAGAAGTGAAGCCAGTGTACAGTTGGAGACAAGATCCTGTCAAGATGAAACATGGAGGCTACATCTACACTGCAGGTTTCTTGTGCAAGAACTTTTTGCAGAAGAGATCTTCCGCAAAAAGTTCTTGTGCAAGAATGCTTCCACACTGCCACGTGCTTTTGCGCAAGAGATGTGCTCTTGCGCAAGAGAATGTCCACACTGCCGTGGACGCTATCACGAAAGAAGGCTCTGATGGCATTCACAGAATGGCCATCAGAGCACTTGTGCTTTTTCCGATAGGGGTTTCAAGAAACTCCTATTGTCCGTCTACATGCGCCTTTGTACGCAAGAGCTCTTGCGCAAAAAGGTTTATTCCTAATAGAAAGAGGAATAACTCTTGTGCAAAAAGCCCTCTCTTCTTACAATGTACAGGCAGTCCCCGGGTTATGTCAGTCCGACTTAAGTCGGACCCCTAGTTACGAACCGGGGGTGGGGGGCCCGCTAGTGCGGGGTGCCTCCCACACTGTCGCCCCCTCTGGCGGCACGGGGGGCGCTTCCCCCCAGCAGACCAGGGAGATGCGGAGCGGCTTTTCTCGACACGGAGGACGTGGGTGGCGGGACTG